TTAAGACACAGATTAACCCCAACTCAGTAATAGTAGGGGACTTCAATACTCGACTGTCTCCATTAGACAGGTCAGCTGGACAAAGAATAAACAGAGACGTCTGAATTCAATGATATCATACATTAAATGGACTTAACAGACATCTTTCAAATATTCCACCCAAGCACCAAAGAATATACTTTCTACTCAGCACCCCACGAAACATTTTCAAAAACTGACCACGTACTGGTCCACAAAACAAACCTCAACAAAACAAAAAAAATGAAATAATTCCATGCATTCTCTTGGACCACAAAGCAATAAAGCTCAAAATCGACACTGGACAAAGCCCTAGTCACTACACAAACTCAAGGTGATTGAACAACACACTCCTAAACAATGAGTGGGTCAAAGGAGAAATTAAGAAAGAAATAAAAGAATTCCTAGAATTCAACGAAAAGGACAATACAACACAACACAACCTCTGGGACACTTTAAAAGCAGTCCTAAGAGGGAAGTTTATAGCTCTAAGTGCCTACATTAAAAAATCAGAAAGAGCACAAATAAATGACCTGACACTGCAACTCAAGACACTTGAAAAGCAACAACAGATAAAACCCAAACCCAGCAGACAAGAAGTAACAAAAATCAGAGCAGAAATTAATGAAATAGAAACAAAGAAAACAATACAAAGGATCAATGAATCTAAGAGCTGGGTCTTTGAAAAGCTAACCAAGATAGACAGACCCTTAGCCCAGTTAACCAAAAGAAAGAAAGAGCAAATCCAAATCAACAAAAACAGAGATGAAAGGGGAAACATCACAACAGACATCCCAAAGATCCAGACCATTATAAGGGAGTATTTTAAAACTTATATGCTACTAAATCTGAAAATCTATTTTTTTGGTCTTTTTTGAGACAGGGTTTTCCTGTAGCCCCAGCTGGCCTGGAACTCACTATGCAGACCAGGCTGGCTGCAAACTCACAGAGATCCACCTGCCTCTGCCTCCCAAGTGCTGGGACTAAAGGCGTGCACCACCATGCCTGGCCTAAATCTGAAAATCTAAAAGAAATGGATGGATATCTGAAATCATGGGAATCACCAAAGTTAAACCAAGAAGAGATCAACAGTTTAAACAGACCTATAACATATAAGGAAATTGAAACAGTAATACAAAGCCTCACAACTAAAAGAAGCCCAGGCCCAGATGGATTTACAGCAGAATTCTACCAGGATTTTAAAAAAGACCTCCAATCAATACTACCTAAATTATTCAAAACTATAGAAACAGAGGGAGAACTCCCAAAGTCCTTCTATGAAGCCAGCATCATTCTAATATCCAAAACCGGGTAAAGACACAACCAAAAAAGAAAACTATAGACCCATATCCTTAATGAACATAGACGCAAAAAGTCTTAATAAAATACTTGCAAATCACATAAGACACACATCAAAAAGATCATTCACCATGATCAAGTAGGCTTTATCCCAAAGATGCAGGGCTGGTTCAATATATGCCAAGTCAATAAAGGTCATTAATCATATAAATGGACTCAAACACAAAAACCACATTGTCATCTCAATAGATGTAGAAAAGGCTTCTGAGAAAATTCAGC